GTAACATATAAACGTAAAGAGAAAGACCAACAGAAGAAGGAGCTTGAGGAAGCTTCACAGGTATTGGTTCCTGAGTTTGTGGGAGAACCAGGACTTACAAATTTTTTGGAGCGATCTTCAAGGGCAGATTTTAACGCATTTCTTTTGATGTTTATGGGCAAGAGAGACTGATATGGAGACTGAATGAAAATTTTAGATAAGAAGTTTAAGTTTAAGTATTTTGTTTAGGTATTTATTTGATATAAGTATGTTATGAATAGGTTTGGAGTATATTACAATGTCTTCAATGTTTGGGGTTTTTTTTAATTATTATTATTATTATTTTTAAGCAATTTGTTATTGGTAAAGATGTATATTACAATGTGTTTAAGATGGTATTTGTTATTGGTAAAGATTTAAATGCATATAAGGGGATTTTAATGTTTTAAGTTTTAAGTAATGTTTAAATTTGTGTTTTGGAGGGAGTTTAAAAGAGTGATGGAATATAAGTAAAAGGTTTAGAGTATTATTATTATTTTTAAGAGAAGACAATTTGTTTAAAGTTTAAGTTTAAATATTTAGCTTAAGTATTCAAAGAGTGTTTTGTTTCAATGGTATAATGAAGGTTTATATGTTTATTTTTTTTTGTTTTATGATAAAGAAAGAGGGAGAGATTAGATTTATATTGTACGTATAGATGTTCAAAGAAAGTAATGTTTAAATTTGTGTTTTGGAGGGAGTTTATACAGAATGATGAATAGTATTATAAGTATGATATTAGAAAATGTTTAGAGTATATTATAATGTGTTTAAGGATTGTAATTATTATTTTTTTAGAGTAGATAACCTATTTAATTTAAGGTATTGAGATTTGTTTAGGATTTATATGTGTTTTAAGTTTTTCTTTTCTTTTTTTGAAAAATTTTAATTAAGCCTGTACTCAACTCTGGGAAGGTTGGGGGAGGGTTTGGGTGGTTTGGGGAGGGGGGGAGGATATGGGAGGGTGGGGGGGTTTCGGGGAGGGGATTTGTTTTGTAAAATTTAAAAAACTTTCAATTAAAAAAAAAAGCCATTGGTTCTTCTTCTTTTTTCACTACTGAGAATAAATAAAGTCAGAGGAATCTATTGATCACTTTCCTTAACTTGTTCGCATTAAATTGCAAGAACACGATGTCAGTAGCTGGTCCAATCAAAAGATGTACAAAAGAGATGGTTTGCATCCATCAAAAAAAGGGACTGAGTTACTGGGCTATAAATTCACAGATTTTCTGGAGGGAAATTTAAACTAAACAGCGGGGACAGGGAGTTAATTGATACAGAACAACCCTGTCCCCGGCAATCTAAAAATTATAGGGCTATCAGTGCATGTAGCATAGATGTGTGTGTGGACAAGAATACCAACCTTGCTATCAAGCAAAATGAAGCCTCTAATAGCAAGTACCACACAAAGTGCACTAACCAAATAGGTGGTAAGGCAATAGGGGAACTCAGGCACCACACAGGTTATGTAGAAAGGAAACACAGAGCCACTCACAAAAGACTCAAATGTTTATACACCAATGCACAGAATATGAACAACAAACAGGGTGAACTAGAAATTCAGGTTAATGAGGGCAGATATGATATTGTTGCCATTACGGAAACATGGTGGGATGAAACCCACACATGGAACACACAGCCAGAGGGATTTAAATTATTTAAAAGAAACAGATCAAATAAAAGAGGAGGTGGAGTTGCTCTCTATGTAAGAAATAACTACATCTCTGCAGAAATAGAACACAACAATGATAAAAACTGTCTTGAATGCATTTGGGTCAATATAAAAGGGGGGAGGGGAATGACATTGCCATAGGTGTATACTACAGACCACCCAACCAAACAGAGGAAATAGGTGAACTTTTTGCTAGTCAGCTAACTAAGGTATGTAGGAAGCACATCACAATAGTAATGGGGGACTTTAACTACCCTGACATCAACTGGGAGACAAACTCCACACCAAGTGGAAGATCAAACAGGTTCCTGGCAAACCTAGCAGACAACTTTGTCTCCCAAAAAGTAGAGAAGGGAACTAGGAGGTTAGCCATTTTGGATCTAATTTTCACTAACAGAGATGAAATGATAGAAGGTGTTGAAGCCATAGGAACCCTGGGAGGAAGTGATCATGCAATATTAGAATTCAACATTATAGAAGCACAAGCAATAGAACACAGTCAAACTAGAGTCTTGGACTTCAAGATAGCTAATTTCAATAAACTTAGAGAGGGCTTGGAAAGGATTCCATGGATGAGAATCCTCAAGGGGAAAACAACTCAAGAAGCTTGGGAAATTTTGAAAAATGAGATAATAAAAGCCCAGTCTAGCACAATACCAACAAAGAGGAAAAACAACAACTCTCAAAAGAAACCAGCATGGCTGCATAAATTGAAAGATAAATTGAAAGATAAAAAGGACAAGTATAGAAAGTGGAAAAAGGGGAACATAACTAAGTCAGAATATCAGCAAATAGCCCGAGCCTGCAAAGATGAAGTGAAGAAAGCCAAGGCTCAAAATGAACTAAGGCTTGAGACCAAAGTCAAAAATAACAAAAAAAGCTTTTTTCAACATGTAAAAAACAAGAAAAAATTGAAGGAAATGATTGGTCCATTAGTGGGTGGAAGTGGCAAGAAGGTGACAAGCAACAGGGAGAAAGCAGAACTATTTAACTCGTTTTTTGCATCTGTCTTTACACAAAGGGAAAAAACAGACCAACCTATCAAAAATAGTGCCATAAAAAACAAAATAGAAACACAAGTTAAGATAGGCAAGAAAATGGTAAGTGAGCACCTGTCCAGCCTAGATGAGTTCAAATCGCCAGGACCAGATGGATTACACCCCAAGGTTCTCAAGGAACTGGCAGATGTGATATCGGAACCACTGAACTATATTTTTCAAAGATCCTGGAACACAGGGGAACTACCAGAGGACTGGAAAAGAGCTGATGTAGTTCCCATCCTCAAAAAAGGAAAAAAAATGGATCCAGGAAATTACAGACCTATCAGCCTGACCTCAATACCTGGGAAGATCCTGGAAAAGATAATCAAACAACGAATCAATGAACACCTAGAGGCAAACAAAGTCATTACTAAAAGCCAACATGGGTTTGTCAAAAATAGATCATGCCAGACAAATCTTATTGCATTCTTTGACCAAGTGACAAAATTAGTGGATCAGAGGAATGCTGTGGACATAATTTACTTGGACTTCAGTAAGGCATTTGATAAAGTAGATCACAACCTACTACTTGATAAGATAGAAAAATGTGGGGTAGACAGAATCACCACCAGATGGATCCGTAGCTGGCTGACCGGCCATACTCAGTGAGTGGTCCTCAATGGAACTGCATCTACATGGAGGGAAGTGTGTAGTGGGGTGCCCCAGGGCTCTGTTCTGGCCCAGTGCTCTTCAACATCTTCATCAACGATTTGGATGAAGGGATAGATGGGGAACTCATCAAATTTGCAGACGACACCAAGCTGGCAGGAATAGCCAACACTCCAGAAGACAGGCTTAAGATACAGGAGGACCTGGACAGACTTGAACACTGGGCACTATCTAACAAAATGAAATTCAATGGTGAAAAAAGTAAGGTTCTACATTTAGGCAAGAAAAACCAAATGCACAAGTACAGCATAGGTGGCACCATGCTCAATAGTAGTAACTGTGAGAGGGACCTCGGAGTCCTAGTAGACAATCACTTAAATATGAGCCAGCAGTGTGCTGCAGCTGCCAAAAAGGCCAACACAGTGCTAGGCTGCATTAACAGAGGGATAGAATCAAGATCACGTGAAGTATTAATACCACTCTTCAATGCCTTGGTAAGGCCACACTTGGAATACTGCATCCAGTTTTGGTCACCACGATGTAAAAAAGATGTTGAGACTCTAGAAAGAGTACAGAGAAGAGCAACAAAGATGATTAGGGGACTGGAGGCTAAAACATATAAGGAACGGTTGCTAGAATTGGGTATGTCTAGTTTAACGAAGAGAAGGACAAGGGGGGACATGATAGCAGTATTCCAATATCTCAGGGGCTGCCATAAAGAAGAGGGAATTAAGCTATTTTCCAAAGCACCTGAAGGCAGGACAAGAAGCAACGGGTGGAAACTAATCAAGGAGAGAAGCAACCTAGAACTAAGGAGAAACTTCCTGACAGTGAGAACAATTAATCAGTGGAACAGCCTGCCTCCAGAAGCAGTAAATGCTCCAACACTGGAAGTTTTTAAGAAGAGACTGGACAGCCATTTGTCCGAAATGGTGTAGAGTTTCCGGCCTGAGCAGGGTGTTGGACTAGATGACCTCCAAGGTCCCTTCCAACTTTACTACTATTATATTATATTAACATCACATTTTTCTTCCTTATTGCTGAGGCATAAGAGAATGTGGGCATCAGGAGAATAACATTTATGTCAGCCTTCTTTTCTGCTAACCAAAGGACTAGTGGATTACAATTTAATGTGATTCTCTAGCTGTGCCTGTGGTTTGTACTGAGTTTTTTGTCAAATCATTCTTAACTTCATGATTGGGAATCCTTGTCTCTTTCTCCAAATAACTACAGTTCCCTAAAGATAGATGTTGTCTGTAGTGTGTCTTTTTAATTAGACATAATGTACTAAATTTTATGACTGAGCAAAAATTTGTATATATGTATTCCATGAGAGAAAGGCAAGTCTTTTAATAGCTGAGATAATATATATAGATGTATGTGCTGAAGTTATAAATAAAAAGATCTTTTGTAGTATTATCTTGATGCATGTGATTTTAACAACCTGCAAGAACTTTGAAAATAATTTTAATTTCAGTAGCCTCTGCCTGCTATTGTCTGAACATCTCTGTTTTAGGCCAAGGATCATCAGACTAAATGTTTAAATCTTTTTTTATTGTACAGACTTGAGTTTAAATAATTGATAATGATTAATTAATAGTTAAGATTAGATGAAAAGAAATTAAACATCAATCAAGCATAGGTGTACCGTTTGTTCCTACCTGAATTACCAGAGTCAGCTCCCCACAAGGTGGGGTTAGAAAGTTCAGCTTCCAGATAGGCATAGTATTTTAAACAATTTTTAGTCACTGCATGTTTCTGTTTTGAAATTCTTGTTCTCTTGTTCTAGTGGTGAGAACCTTCACTTACCTGTGCTCTCTCAACTTACATTGTGTTGCCTTAGCTGCTGACACTCAGAGGCCCTGGTTCATTGCTCCCTTCCTTTGTCACACAGAAGCTGTTTTATGACATCACAATGTCTTTATTATCATTTTAGTTAGACATTTTTTCCTGTTTGCAAGTAAGGAATAGAGACATTATGAATAGAGAATTTAACTCAATTTATTGCAGTTTTTCTGCCCCCAAAAATATAATGACAAAGTTCAAAATTAAGCAATAATATTATAATGATGTGATATATGATGGAAATTTTAGATTCCGATGTATAGATTTCATTCTTAGAAATCACTTGGGTTTGGGACTTTAGGGACTATGAGCTTGAGCACACTGTATAATTAGACAGGTGCCTTCTGAACTGCCTTAGTAGGGAGACAATATAGATTGTAGCCCTGAAGATGCAACATACCTTTGATAGATGATATAAAAATGGAATTTTAAAAGGTACCAGTTTCTTTTGATGGAATAAGCAATACCAGCCTTTCCAAATTATCTTCTAATGTACTCCAAATAGTACTTAACACTGTTATGTACTGATAACACTGTTTTTGCTGGTAATTATTGCTGCAGGCTGTAGGAAAAAACACAAATAGTAATACATTTAGCTGGAGCAATTAATGCAATATAAGACTGGTCAGTATCCTCCTATTTTCACATTTCTATTTTGAATCAGTTAAATGATCTTCAAAGGCTGCTGTGGTCTCCAGCACAGCAATAATTGAAGCTAAGTCTACTTTGTCTTGTATGAGGTATAATTGGTGTACAATGAAACCTATTTATTTACAATTGAGTTTGTCTTTCCTTAGCCCATAACACACCATCTTTGTTGTAGATCTAAATTCTGATGTTATGTGAGAGAGAAAATTATTTTTTCCATTCATTCTTTTTATGAACTTTGTAATTTTATAAATTATGTGCACAGATCTCTCATACTCTTGCCAACCTCTTCTCCATTCCCCAGTCTTCCAGCTCTAAGTACTTTAGCCTTTTTCGGCAGAAGTTTTCTTTCTTTTCCTAAATTGATTGCACTTTTTATGATTTTCTTCATTGTACTCTATCTTTTCTGAAGACTTTTAGAAACATAACAGTTTTCTTAATATTGTCAAACCATTATGTTTTGTTGCTTCCATCTATTAGTTGTGGTGGTGCATTAGTTAGAATGCAGCATTGCAGACTAATTCTGCTGTTTTCCAGGGGTTTGATCCTCACCAGCTCAAGGTTGATTCAGCCTACTATCCTTCTGGGGTTGGTAAAATGAGTATCCAGATTGTTGGGGCAATATACTGACTCTGTAAAACAGCGGTTCTCAACCTATGGGTCGTGACCCCATTTGGGGTCGAACGACCATTTTACGGGGGTCGCCAAACAACGCGATCCGCCATTTCCCCCCCTCAGGGGACGTTGCCGCGCATACGCGCTGCGCATGCGTGCCGCGTCCATGTGACGGGGGTCGCCGTCACACAAACATTGAGAAACGCTGCTGTAAAACCACTTAGATTGGGGTGTAAGGCATTATGAAGCGGCATATAAGTCTAAATGCTATTGCTATTGCTATTATTCATTTTGTTTCATCTTAGCCACATTGGTGTGCTGCCTGAATATTCTAAAGGGACCATTTAATGCTCACTTAACTAAATGAATTCAGCAGCCAGGCAGTTACAGTATCTTTTTTCTTTTTTTTGGTATTTGAGCAAGCAATTATTTGGGCACAATTTCTCTACCCAAAAATTTCTGAGTCAAAACAACAACAACAACCCCACCATTCTTTTATTTTTAATAATTGTCTCATAGACCTGGTTCATTTTAGTGGGACTTTCACAGTAGCCTATGGAATATAAGTAGATCAGAATATTAATATATTTGATGTATATACATACTGTAAATTGCATGATTTATACGCTGATGTTTTGACACATGTTGTCATTTACCTCCCTTCCACCCAGCTAATATGGAGACCTCCACAAACACTTTGACAAACATGACAAGGGTTAGTTGAAGGGGAGGCTTAGTCTCTCAGAACAGGTACAAGTACAGTATTTAATGTATAAAAGATCCAAATGTCTGCTCGTTGGACTTTGGTGGCTGGCAGTCATGATGGTGGACATCACAGTTGTCCAAGCCTTTGGGGACAAGCTAGCCCAGAATTTCAAAGAAATCTGGATCCACTTTTGCCAGCACTTGGTGATTAGTCAGGAGCCTGAGATTTCATTGAATAGCACTATGTCACTTTGAAGAAGGCAGATCCAAAGTTCCCCATATTGATCAGAGAGCGCTCCAATGTTCATCCTATTCTTTGGGCCTTAGGCCTAGGAAAGAGTGTGTCGCTAAATAACTGAAATGTGGAGCAAACTGTCAAAGCCTTGAAGAATGCTGTTAATAGCAAAATAAGAAGATAATCCTATATCCTTGTTTGATTCTAAGTCTGTAATTTTGCATTTTCAGTTCATTAACTCCATCAATGTACAATTGTTCTTTACTTCAAATGCACTGTCATAATGTGCTTGCTGTTAAGTTTTCTGCTTGATTATTGATATGTAGTGCTTGGGAGTATCAGTGGATTACCCAGATCAGTATCTGCATAGAGACAGCATGATGGGGCATGCATAGGAGAAAGTCTCCAAATAGTCAGCAAAAAGCAGCTTGGTTTCAAACTAGTAATAAAAGGATAGTAGCTTGCTTGATCACTCCAGAGAAGATCTTCTGTGTTTTTTGTAATATGGATTCTATTGTATCTTTTATGTTCTGATACATATTATAGAAATTATAAATGAGCATAGCAGTCACTAATTTAGAAAAACAGTATTTATTCTTATACAAACTTGGTAATCAGATTTTAATTTAGAGCTGCTTAACGCACACAGAAATGCACACATATATCCTAAATCCCAGAGATGCTCAGAGATGCTCCTGTCTCCAAACCTGTAGTGGATCTTAAAGGGAAACATTAATAGCAAATTAATTTAGACATAGATACGCATATAGCTCCCCAAGGCTGTGCTGCCTTACAGTAGTCATGGTGGTGCTGTTCCTAGGACGGATGAACAAACAATGTTGGGAAGGTGTGGTGGAATCTGGCACTGAGTCATAAAAAAGAGGGAGCAAAGAGACAAATTAGTCTTGAATTTTTAGCGTGCAGGAGGAGAAACACAGAAAGGATCCTCCCTGATTCTTCACATCATTTATCTGATTGTTATGCAGAGTATGCTTTAATCTGTCAAAATTCTGGTCTATAGGCAAACAATAATAAAGAAACTGCTTGAGCCATTCCATTTTTTTCCTCATGCGTAATGGGGTATACCATAAATATACTGTGTATTCCAATAGATAGAGTCACTCAAGGTACAAAGGTCATCCCAATTTTCTAACTAAGCATACCTTATGTTGGGTACCAGTGATATAGCAAAATACTGGATGATCACTTAAGTGACAATGTTGTGCAAAGGTTTCAACTTATTCTGGGCAGAAGTAGGTAGTGGTAAACTACTCTTGTATTTTTACCAAAAAACCTATACTGGTGGAATATCAGCCCTTAGATGAGACAAGGGAACCAATGCCAGAGTCATTGAGAGTCAAGAGCACATTAAGTTTAATAAATTATGGTTTGTTGCACAGTCAGCCAGATGTTCAGACTGGACTTGGCATTTTTAACTATTGTCAAATTCTTCCCAAGAATCTGGGATAGGCAAATGTGGATGTTTGATGGTATATCATGATTACTTTTTAGAATAGAATAGAATAGAATAGAATTGGAAGGGACCTTGGAGGTCTTCTAGTCCAGCCCCCTGCTCAAGCAGGAGGACCTATACCATCTCAGACAGGTGACTGTCCAATCTCTTTTTAAAAACTTCCAGCGATGAAGCGCCCATGATTTTTGGAGGTAAGCTGTTCCACTGGTTGATTATCCTCACTGTCAGGAAGTTTCTCTTAATTCCAGGTTGCTCCTCTCTTTGATCAGCTTCTAACCATTGTTTCTCGTCCTTCCCTCTGGTGCTATATTAAAGTATAAAGCTATATTAACAGAATATTGCCAGTCTGAATTTGCTTCCTCTTCTCTCTTTTTATCTTATCTCAAAGGAGGTTGTCTCAATAGTTACTCATGTTACATTCTTGCCCCCAAGTCAGAGCTTTTATCATAGTAGTGGCTTTTTCTTTTGCCCTATAAGACCATTATCTCTGTCTTCTAAATAGAAATATAAAATGATTGATGATATAATACTGGATGATGGGCCTCTCAAATAGATGGCGCTCAGTATCAATTGAGGAAGAGCCGAGGACCTTTTGGAATACTAATAGTGTTTATGCTGTGGCTAGAATAATACCTTTGGGTACTATCTAGTTGCTAATGTTGCCATACAGGAAAAGAAATTCTGAAGCTGCAAAGACAGAACTATAGTGGGGACCTGAAATGTATGAATCATGAACACAAGAAAGCTCAACATAGTGAAAGATGAAGTAAAAAATTACAAATTCAGATGAACTGGAACTGGCCACTATAGTCATAGGGTCACACTGTTTATTACTCAGACATCAAAAACAAATACAAATAATATTCCTTTTATACTTAGAAGAAGCATAGTAAGAACAATAGTTGGTTATAGTGCAATCAATGACCAAATAATATTAATCAGACTTTGTGGATAAACCTTTAACATGACTATATCATTGGTGACACAGTGGTTAGAATGTAATACTGCAGGCTACTTCTGCTGACTGCCAGCTGTTTCCGTGGCTAGAGCTTTTCCTCTTCTTTTTCAAGGTTATTCTCACAGCCTATTTCAGATCTTGAAGTTATACCTATCACTTTCAAGGAGAATCTAAGGAAACATTTGAAGCCCAGTCTTCATTGATAGAATTATGGAATGAACATAAATAAGTCATTAAGGGTGAATGTGAAAAGAGACTGCCAAAGTTGAAGAAGTAGAACAAAGCCAAAGATATGCTCATGGAGGTTTTAGAGCCTCATCCCCCTACCTCTAGTTTTAACAGTCACACACTACTGTGATCAGGAAACCAAAATCATGTATGCAAATATAAGAAAAAAACCTTAATTGATTC